GCCTGAAGAATCTCATGGACAGAGGAGCCTGGCGGGCTACGGTCCATAGGATCACAAGGAGTCGGACAGGACTGAAGCGACTTGGCACGACATTTTCCCTTTGGTAACCACAAGTTCGTTTTCTATGTCTGTGAGTCAATTTCTGTTTTGTAAAGAAGTTCATTTGTATCATTTCTTAGATTCCACATAAAATGAAATCACATGGTCTTTTTCTTATTTCACTTAGTATTATCATCTCTAGGTCTATCCAAGTTGTTGCGAGTGGCAACTTTTCATTCTTTTTTATGACTAATAGTCCATTGTATGAATATATACCACATCTTCTTTATCCATTCATCTTTTAATGGACACGGGTTGCTTCCATGTTTTGACTATTGTAAATAATGCTGCAATGAACACTGGGGTGTATGAGTCTTTTTGAATTTGAGTCTTCATCTTTTCTGGATATATGCTCAGGAGTGGGATTGCTGGTAGTTTGATTTTTAGTTTTTTAAGGAACCTCCCTACTGTTCTCCATAGTGGTTGCAATAGTTTACATTCTCACAAACAATGTAAGAGACTTCCCTTTTCTCCACATCTTCTCCAGCATTTGTTATTTACAGGCTTTTTGATGATGGCCATTCTGACTGTTGAGACTTGATACCCTATTGTGGTTTTGATTTTTCTCATAATTAGTGATATTGAGCATCTTTTCATGTGCCTGTAGACAGTCCGCAGGTATTCTTTGGGGAAAGGTCTGATTAGGTCTTTTGCCCATTTTTGCCCATATTGTACTGCCACTGAATCACAGTCTAGATCACATGGAAACAGGAGTGAAATTGGATGGCGGGGGAAGGGGGACTGTGTCTTTTGACCCCCTCTTACAGAAAGCAGAACTGCCCCTGGACCCGTGTCAAGTAGCAGTGACTTGACCAGCCTTACATGAGCCCCGTCGAGTTTCCAGCGTCTGCTGTGGTGCCGTGCATGCAGAGGACCCTGGCTGGTGGAGATAACACTTGATAAACAGGGAGAGTGGGCTGTCCCCTCCGCCCCTCTTTTAGATATCCAGCGTTCTTTATAGCTTTGCTCAGGTAGATCATTCATTGCCATAAATTTTCTTATCTCCAGTGCTTTTCCAATTATGGATAACAACAGAAAAGCAGTCATTGGTTTCTAAAAGGTCATCAAGATATAGAGCCCGTTGGGGAAGGGAATGACTTATGCAGTTGGCTGTATAAATCTGGAGAAGTTTTATGCACAAGTCGGACAAGAAATGTAAGTGAGATTCATAAAACATATAAAGATTTATGGTGTCTCAGCTGATGAAAATTGCCTCTCCTTTTGCTGTTTGCGTGGGAATTATTTGTTCCTTCCAAGTGTTTTACATATGGTGCATGGGCCAGCAAGTCCTCATGTAGCCCCCACGAGGGCCCAGTGCATCCTAAGGGCATGGTGATGATTGGTCGTGGCATCTTTGAGCAGCGGGCTGGCGGGGATCTTAGAAGCTGTGGCTTCTCTGAACGCCAAAGATGCTCAAGTGCCTCAGGCAACTGTTGCACTTTTAGTGTCTATGGGCGGAGAAAACAAATTCTCACATGGATATCTGACTAGCAGGTTGTGTCATCACTCACCTGGAATCTGGGGGGTGTTGTGGGCCTGACTGCATGGTGTACCTCAAAGTGGCTTTGATTTTTAAAAACAAGCTTATTCGTTTGTTGGGTCTTCTTTGCTGCAAGCAAGTAGGCTTTCTTTAGTTGCTCAGTGCGTGCATATGTGCTCAGTCGCTTAATCATGTCTGACTCTTTGCGACCCCATCGACTGTAGCCTGCCAGGCTCCTCTGTCCATAGGATTCTCTAGGCAAGAATACTAGAGTGGGTTGTCATTTCCCTCCTCCAGGGAGGGAACCTGCGTTTTCCCTACCCAGGGATCGAACCTGCGTCTCTTATGTCTCCTCTTTTGGCCAGAGGATTCTTTACCACTGACGCCACCTGGGAAGCCCCTCGAAGTGGTTTTGAGAGCCCTTGCACCAGACTCAGTGTTGATTCCCAGGCTTGCCTCTCAATAGTTGGATTTTATTAGTTGAGGCTGGTCTGGGAATCTGCATTTTTATTTAGTAAAATGCACAGTCAGATTTGAGAAAGACTCATGTAGCAGCCGGCCTTCCCTTTTGTGGACAAGGGAGTGAAGGTCCAGGGAAGTGAAGCAGCACAGTTGGGACCTTCTGCCTTCTAGGGACTCAGACTATTGTAGAACCTGCAAATATCAGAACCTGCGAAGTTCTTCCATGAAGATCTAGGCTGATACGCCATTTCTCTGGGAAGAGCCTCAGACCCAGCCCAGAGGTCTTTCCCTTGCCCTGCCAGATCAGTAGCCCTGCTCATCCTGAGCCCAGCAGGGTAAGAAGCTTGCTAACATCTGTGTGTTTGGGGGTATGCTGTTAAGTCTCTAACAACCAGCTCTCGGGGGTGGGGGGGACCTTGCTGTTTGCCAATTCTTCTGGTGTAAATACTGCCCCGCCCCACCCCCGCCACAGCCCATTTCAAGCTTAGCTACAGACCTTCACTGAGGCTGGAGTTGGGAAGACATCCACAGATTCTACTCACTGTGGTCTGAATCTCCTCTAGCATACACTGCATCTTCATATCCCAGGAAACAAACCGGAGGCAGGCAGAAACAGATCAGGCCAGAGAAGGAGGAGACCACAGAGACACAGGATCAGATCTGGGAGGTCGGGTTAGCCACATGCCCAGGGAGGTAGCCCAGCATCCCAGGGTCCCAGGAAAACCGAGGACACCCCACATGGCACTGGGGCTCAGAGTTCAGTGCTCCCCAGGGCACAGGAGGCTGGCAGCCCTGCCGACTGACCTCAGCCTCAGGACTGCTTGTCACCGGGTCCCAGCTAAGGGCCTCTCACACTTCCTTTTCAATCAGGCTGACACCTTCACGGCTGTGGGGCAGAGATCAGAACTAGCTGCTAGCCCCTAGCCTTACATGTGAGTCTGTTTAGTCAAAGCTATGGTTTTTCCAGTAGTCGTGTATGGGTGTGAGAGTTGGATCAGGAAGAAGGCTGAGCACCAGAGAATTGATGCTTTCAAACTGTGGTGTTGGAGAAGAGTCTTGAAGAGTCTCTGAGACAGCAAGGAGCTCAAACCAGTCAATCCTAAAGGAAATCAGCTCTGAATATTCATTGGAAGGACTCATGCAGAAGCCGAAGCTCCAATACTTTGGTCGCCTGATACAGAGAGGCGACTCATTGGAAAAGACCCAGGTGCTGGGAAAGATTGAAGGCAGAGGGAGAAGCAGGGTGGCAGAGGATGAGATGGTTGGAAGCATCACCAGCTCAATGGACTTGACTTTGAACAAACTCCTGGAGAGTGAAGAACAGGGGAGCCTGGTGTGATGCAGTCCGTGGGGTCACAAAGAGTCGGGCATGACTTAGCAACTGAACAAAAATTACTTTCATGAACCAGCAAGACCCGGCTTCCATTGGGTACCCTACACCTGCCCCATACCCTGGTGAGGAGCCGGGGCCCAGGGAGACCCCCCGCACCTCCTGGACCTTGCTTAGGCTGTGTCTTCCACTCATAATATCCCCTTGCCCCCTGCCTCTTGGTCTCTGGAGGTCCTGGGCTTGCCTCACAGCCTTCTGCAAATATTACTGCTCCTGGAGATCTTCCCGTCCCCTTCCACCATGGAGATCTCCTCCCTTCTCTGCCCCCAAGACACTGTGTGCCCTTCCAACAGTGTCAATGACATCTGCCCTGTGTGATCATGTGGTCTTTCCAGGCACATCCAAGGCAGCTATTTATTTGGCTGAAGCCTCCCGGCCAGGCAGCTGGCCCATCTCTGTGGCCATCACAGCACTCACCCCTCAGCCTGGGACCCTGCTAAGGTTTAGTTTTACTCCCTAAGACCCAAAACAGTTTGCTGCCACTAGCAGCGCCTAAGGTTCTGGATGGCTGGTTGGGCCAAGCATGCCCTATGTGAATCCTCATGACCCCCTACATGTAGCTACTCCAGGAAGCTCGTCCTGCTGACCAGCTTCCGGGCCTCCCAGGGATGATGGATGGCGGCTGCAATCCGAGGCTCCGGCCGGTGTCCGCCTTTCTCCAGAGGCCTCTGGTTCACCTCCTCCCCCAGCTCTGCTTTCCTGAGACATTCCACAAGGCAGGTTCACAACCAGCTGCTGCTACACTTGATAAAGGCTTGAGAAAGAACATTTTATTTTTTTTAAGAAAGAGCATTTTAAAAAGAGAAGAGTTGGATAAATTGGAAAAGCTTTTGTATACATACATACACATAATATGTATAATATATATTTTACAAAACTTATGAATTTTTACCTAACTAAAAATTTTACGGCATTTTGATTTTAGTTGTTTGACTTAGTATGAACAGAATGCTAGATTTCTAATAAAAAAAAACTGATATGCAACAAGCAACCAAGGTTTATTGTATAGCACAGGGAACTATATCTTGTAATGACCTCTAATGGAAAATAATTTCAAAAATAAGACATGTGCATATGCTTATCTGAATCACCTTGCTGTGCCCCTGAAACATTGTAAGTCAACTCTACTTTAATAAAATACATATATTAAGAAAAAAATCAGCTGCTGATGTCAGGCTAAGGGTGGGTTGTTTTGGGAGCAGCTGTGGCCACGTAGAGGTGACCATGGCCCCTGTCAGCCACCAGTCTCTCTTCAAAAATCAGGAACATCCCTCCCACTCTGGCTGCTGGAAAGGACCCTACGACTGGCAGCACCTGTCCACACCCGTCCTCTGAGGTCACCCTGGAGACGGTCGGTCCTTGGGCTGTGAGGTCTTTTCCCTCTTCCCTCCCTACTCCCCATCCTCAATCCATCAGAAGGACAGTAATTTAATAGATAAAACCGCAGGCTCTAGAGCTCAAATCCCAGCTCACTCCCTTGCCATCTCCATGACCTTAGACAAATTCTCAAAATCGTTCTCAGTAGCGTCATCTTTACAGTTGGTGTGACTGTGTTTTCCGACTCGTCAGTTTCTGGGGGCCGAAAGTGAGATAACACAGATGAAGCACGCGGAGCCACGCATGCACACCACAAGTGTGCCGTGCGTGTTATCCGTGAGTCTTGTCCTTATAACGACCATCATCATGGGCAGCCCAGCCTCTGTGGTGATGGTTTCGCCCACCGTGTCTGCTCCACCTCATTTCCCTCTAGGATTGTGACGTGTGTGTCACTGAAATTCAATCAGGACACTCGGGGAGGTGCCTCACCCTGGCCAGCACATAGTAGGCACCTTATAAATCACAGCTGCCTTCCAGGAGTCTGGTACCTAGCAGAGTGCCGGGCACGGAGTCAATCCTCCGTGATGGAGCCGAGGGCTCAGCCTGGCCACCCTCTCTTCCTCCTGCGCCCGCTCTGCGGTACCCTGACCCTTCCCCTCATCAAAGCAGCATTGTAAGTGAGCTCTGTGTCCTGGGGGGCCAGGGTAGCAGAGAAGAGAGGCGTCAGGAGAAATGTGCCCTGAGTGCTGGGGGTGAAGGGGCTCATTAGGGATGTGACTAGGTCTCAGATTGCCCACCTGGTTCAAGGTCAGGAGGCAGTTGTGTGGCCCACCCACTCAATTTAACTCTTTCATCCTGGTGCAACACCCCAGGCTTCTCCTCACGGGCATCAGAGCCCCTGCCCCCGTCAGGCACTGGGGTGCAGTGAATCTCAGCCTGGTGCACCTTCATAGGAACAGGATGTAGAGGGCAGGCTGGCCCCACCAGGCTCTGTCTTCCCCCAGACAAAGCCCAGCCTCCAGGCTGTATCAGCCGGCAGACGGCAAGACACCCTGAGTCAGGGTGCCGGGGCATTTGTCACATTGGAGAATGACAAAGAGGAGGCAGGTGTCTGACCTGGAATGACAGAAACACAGAGCAGTGAAGCCTTCCCCCGACCCCCTGCCAAGGAGGGGAGGGAACAGAGACCCAGGGTCATTTTTCAGCATGATTTTCCTCCATTTAATGTTCCCATAGATTACAGGTCCTGATCATCCAGTGGCCCATAGAGATGCTTTATGGTGTCAGGGTGTAAGGTTTTAGGAGGGGAAAGAATTAACTGCGAACTTCCTGTCCTACAAAGACCCCCATTGTCTGTAGAATACCAAGTTGATTTTGTTTTGCTTTTTTTAGATATGTACTCAAGGTGAGAAAGATAAACAGGATTTACAAACCTCCTTCTGCAATTAAAAAAATGGAAAGGAACTTCCTCTCTAGACACTTCCTTTTAGCTTGAAAGAAAGCAGGGATGCATCTTCTCACACCCCTCAGCCAGAGGTTTGTAACTTTCCTGGTCGCTCAGAAGGTAAAGAATCTGCTTGCAGTGCAGGAGACATGGGTTCAATTCCTGGGTCAGGAAGATCCCCTGGAGAAGCGAATGGCTACCCACTCCAGTATTCTTTTTTTTAACTTTAAACTTTTTATTTTGTATTGGGGTAGAGATGATTAACCATGTTGTGGTAGTTTCAGGTGAGCAGTGAAGGGACTCTGCCATACATACACATGTATCCATTCTCCTCCAAAACCCCCTCTCATCCAGGCTCCCACTCCAGTGTCCTTGCCTGGAGAATTGCACGGACAGAGGAGCCTGGTCGGCTACACTCCATGGGGTCACAAAGAGTCGGACATGACTGAGCAAATGTTTCACTTCCACTTTTCATGGGAATAACAGAGAATTTGATGCTACATATTTTATTTAAAACTGGCTCTTCTTCTGCAGTTCTCTGTCCTGGCTCAGTGATCAGGACGGTTTGAGGAAAGAGGTGGAAAGCGCTTTCTCTTCGACAGATACTATTCTGGGACAGGCTCTGGGAAGACTCTGCCCGCAGAGTCCAGTTTGTAGTTCTTGACACTATGAGTAAAAATCATTGACAAACCACTCTTCTTTGGAAATGAGGGTAAAAAGAAAAACCAATATCACACCTAAGGAGGGGCCGGGGAGCACATGAAAAGATGCTGAACACCATTGATCATCAGGGAAATGCACGTCAAAACCACCTCACACCCGTTAGGATGCCCAGAGCCAAGACAGATGATAACAAGTGTTGATCAGAATGGTGAGAGACTGAAGCCTGTGCCTGCTGCTGTCGGGGCTGTAAAATGGTGTAGCTGCTTTGGAAAACAGTTTGGCGGTTTCTCAGAAAATTAAAGGCAGAATTGCCATAGAACCCAGCAGTTCCACCCCTAGATGCATACCCAACAGAACTGAAGAAATGTATTCACACAGATGCATGCTCACAGCAGCACTATTCACAAAAGCCAAAAGGTGGAAACAACTCAAGTGTCTGTGAACAGATGAATGGATAAACAAAATGTGACCCGTCCACACAACGGAATAGTGTTGTTGTTGTTCAGTCTCCAAATCCTGTCTGACTCTTGGCTCTCCCATGGACTGCAGCAGGCCAGGCTCCCCTGTCCTCCACTATCTCCCGGAGTTTGCTCAAATTCACGTCCATTGAGTCTGTGATGCTATCTCACCATCTCACCCTCTGCTTCCCTCGTCCCCTTCTGCCTCCAACCTTTTCTGCATCGGGATCTTTTTCAATGAACTGGATTTTTGCATTAGGTGGCCAAAGTATTGGAGCTTCAGCATCAGTCTTTTCAATGAATGTTCAGGGTTAATTTCCTTTAGGATTAACTGGTTTGATCTCCTTGCAGATCTCCTTGCAAGGACTCTCAAGAGTCTTCTCCAGCACCACAATTCAAAAACGTCAATTCTTTGGTGCTCAGCCCTCTTTATGGTCCCGTGGAATAGTATCCAGCCATAAAAAAAGGAATGAAGTTCTGCTACATGACAAAGCTCAAAGACATTATCTATCCTAAGTCAAAGAAATCAGTGTGATCACATTTATACCAAATATCCAGAACAGGGAAATCTGTAGAGACAGCTTGGTGGTTTTCAGTGACTACGGGGAGGCAGGATGGGGAGGGGGTTTCCTTTCAAGTGATAAAATGTTCTGTAACTACTTAGAGTGGTTGCACAACATGGTGAATGTACTAGAAACCTCTGATTTACTTATTCACTTTGAAACAGTTAACTTCACTTTATGTAATTCATCTCATAGCTCAGTTGGTAAAGACTCTGCCTGCAGTGCAGGAGACCCGGGTTCGATTCCTGGGTTGGGAAGGTCCCCTGGAGAAGGAAGTGGCAACCGACTCCAGTATTCTTGCCTAGGGAACCCCTGGGACAGAGAAGCCTGGCGGGCTACTGTCCACGGGGTCGCAAGAGTCGGACACGACTTCACCACTAAACCACCACCACCACCACCAATTCATCTCAGTTAAAAGGTGTGTCTAACAAAGTGCAACGGGACCCTGGGAAGCAGCCTTAGTGCCTCAGGCTTACTCAAGAGGAGCTGCAGTGACGGATGAAGAGTCCTCCAGAATTTCTTGCTTCCAGCATCTCAGTCGTGATGGTTTGGGGAGGGCGTCAGATAATAGGCAAATTCTCCCTTGGGAGAGTCCTGGGATCCAGTCTGGACAGAGCCAAGTACCCAGGGGGACACAGAGTGGCAACCCCCCAACAGTACTCATTCCGCCTACAGCGAAGTCCCCACTCGACCGCAACCCCCAGGCGCACACCTGCCCACACCGCCAAAGCCTTCTGCCAGTCCCATCAGCAAGAGCCAGTACAGGTGAGGGTGCTGGCAGCTGGCCGAGGGGCACCAGCCCAGGAAGTTGAGCATAGGCGATGCCTGTTCAGTGTCCCCCAGGGACTGCGGGGCCCCGTCTCCTCCCATCTGTGGGTTCCAGGAGGGCCTCCTGCTTTATCCTGCTCCCTCCCTGGAGCAGGTCCATGGCCAGCCTGCAGGCTGGCTCCATAAATGGTGCCTTGATGGTATTTGGGTCCTGGGCAGCCCCTAAGCTCTCCTGGAGGAATAGCGGATGTTTTTCCCCCAGCTCATCCCCCATCAGGACCATTCCTCAGTGCTCTCCTTCTAGCCAGGGCCCAGGATGGCCTGCAGTTCTGAGCCAGCGCCCCCTGAGGGCCCAGGGGAACCACAGACCCTCAGTGGGGGCGGGGCGAGTGCAGAAGGCAGAGGTCACTGTACTGCTGGTGTGCACAGGCCCTGACCCACCCTGGATGACTGACTTCCCCCACCCTCCCGCCCTGCTCCCATCTTCACCCCCGTCTCGGTTGCCTGTCCCCTATTATAGTCTTCTTGAGAGGCTCCTTGTACCCTGGGGACTCCTTCCTTCTTTCATTACATCCCTGCCTGGGGGAGGGGGGCAGGGAGAGAGGCAGGTCCCTAACCCAGGCCGCAAAGAAGCCTCTCAGAAGAGGAGTGGCTCTTGAGGGCCGTGCTGAGAGCCCACTCTCCCTGCATTAACCAGCACGGAGAGAGATGCTACAATGGACGATGCTGTTACCCCGTGAGCTGGAGGACCCAGGTTCGGACACGCAGGAAAATCATACTCTATCTTCATCTGCTGTGGTCCCCGCCCCTCCCCCCTGCCCCTGGCATCAGAGCCCGCGTAATCTGCGGCAAGAGAGGATAATTAATTCAAGAAAGGCCTACATCCCGGGGCCTTGGCCCTTTGACAGAGAGAGGAGGGGAAGCCAGGGAGAGGGGCTGAGAGTCTGCTGGAATAATCTCTTGTCTTGGGGCAAGATCGTTCCAGTCCTAATGAGACCCCCGGGCGTTATCCCTGCGTGTATTGTCTATCACGGCCAGGAAAAGGGCGAGACCAACTTTATTTCTGAATTTGGACTGACTTAAAGAAGTGGCATCACATTTGAAGGGCACACAATCAATCTGTTACCCTCGCTGCATGAAATTGTATTTGCTTGCCACTTCCTATCTCGCTGGGCGCAGCTGGGCTGTAAGTCATCGGTGATAACATTCTTTATTATGCCGTCCTGTTTATGAACTGTGCCTGGAAAGAATGATAGAAATATGCAGCAATATGCAAAGGGATGGGGCGGGGGGGGGCGGGTGGTGGCAGGCGGAGGAGAAGGGGGAGCGAATGCTAGTTGCCAGGGCAACAATGGGGCTATTTTGGGCATTGGATTTTGTGGATGATGAAAACCATTTTCCTTCGATGCTTGGACTCTCCCTTCCCCCCTTCTGGAGGCGATTAACACAGAACCCAGTATTTTAGGAAGAGGGTAGCTTAATTTCTTAATTAACATTTTTCTGTATATTTTTTTCTACCTCCTTTAAAAATGGATAAAAAAAAACTAAGGGTGTTGATAATGTTTGAGCATTCTTGAGTGGAAGGCGAGCTTTCGTCCTGGTAGAAAGAGATGTGTGAATAATTTACTAATCTTCACTGCTCCCCCGCCGCCACCTCGTCCACCACACACCCGCCTCCCCCTTTTTACCTACACCGACTTAACTCTGATAAACTCCCCAAGCAAAATCCCCAGGCTCTGAACCTCAGCAAAATCTCAAAATCTGCAAGTGTTTTCCAGCCCCCTGAATTCCAATGAGTCTCAGGCAACCTGGCTGCCACGGAGACGGCTGGGGCTGGGCAGAATCTCCATCTCAGGGCCCAGACACCCCCGAGAAACAAAGGCTGGAGAGCAAGCCTTGTTCCTGTCCTCTCTATCCAAGATGGAGACTTCCTGGCGGAGGGACTCACCCTCTGGGTGCTGAGCCACTCACATAGCCTGGGCAGCCCCACACCCAGAAGGCGGCGAGGTTGGTCCCCTCCGGATCTGAGCCCAAGTGGACAGTCCCCCCTACTGTGTCCACTTTCATAGAATTGATGAATTTCAAGCTTGCTGCCTCTTTGCTGCTTCTTCAGTGGTTCTCCAAGTGGGGTCCCCTGACCCCCACCAGCAGCAGCACATTGTCTAGGGACTCGTTGCTATAGATGCAAATTTGGGGGTCCTCCCTTCAGACTTGCTGAATGGGAAACTGGAGGTGGGCTCAGCACCCTGTATTTTAGTGAGTCCCCCTGGGTGATGCTGAGCCAGTCCAGTGTGAGAAGTGCTGTGTTAAAGAAAGACAGGTACCAGGTATTTCATAGACGTATTTCAGATATTTCATCTCTAGCATGTATCTACCACATAGCTGTAGGTGCCCAGTAAAAAGGAGCTGTGATTGGAGCTGGGGCAACAGTCTTGGAATCCGCCTCACCTGCCTTTCCCCAGAATCTGCGCAAAGCGACAACGGTGGTGAGCAGAGAGCAGGTGGATTTCTGGTGCTCACGGTCCAAGATCTAGGACTGGAGGGAGGTGGCTCATGGAGCCTCTTTCTTTCTGATCTGGGCAGTCTTGCTTGTCCAGCTCTCCACGGCTAGACGCCACCCCCAGTCCCTCCCTGGGGTAAGGGACTTATCTCCCAGGGGAACCCCCTGAACTGGACTACCCAGATCAGTTCCCCTTTCTCACTGACCTCTGGTATCAGGTCTAAGACTTGTTCATGGATCTGGGGAGCATCTTGCTGGTGCCTCTGGCTTGGCAGCAATGTGCCATGTGTGTTTTCCCAAGTGGCCCCTTCTGCATACTCCTGCTAGCAGAAAGACGTCTCCTGAAGATGTCCCTTGTGGGCTAATTTGGGGGAGGTTCTTCGTAATAAATGAGGGGGGAAGGTGACTGGGCTCTTCTTGTGGGGATGTAACTTATGGAAGGGATTCCCAGGTGGCACTAGCGGTAAAGAACCCGCCTGAAAAAGCAGGAGATGTAAGAGATGCAGGTTTGATCCCTGGGTCAGGAAGATCCCCTGGAGGAAGGCATGGCAACCCACTCCAATATTCTTGCCTGGTGAATCCCATGGACAGAGGAGCCTGGCAGGCTACAGTCCACAGGGTGGCAAAGAGTCAGACACGACTGAAGTGACTTGTCACAGCACACACAACTTATGAAAGCATCATCGCCCTGAGCCTGAAGAGAGAAATAAGATGCAAGCTTTCTTTTTTTAAATGATCTTTTAATTAACTATTACCGAAGTAATACATACTCAGGTGGAAAAATTAGCAAATTATAGAATAGTACAAAAAAGTAAACAAATTTAAATTTTTTCTGTCTGGAGATAAGAGGGAATATTTTTCTGCTTTTTTGCTCTACTCTTTCTCTCACTGTTTATTTTTACAAACTTGAGATTATATTGCATTCTGCTTTTTTTATTTTTTCCAGCTAACATCATAATGTGAACATTTTTCCATTTCCTTAAATAGTCTTCAATGCCTTTTTTTTTTTAGTGGCTGCACACTATTTTATAATGTGGATGTATCATCGTTAAGCTTTTCCTGCGAATAAATTATTTTCCACGTCTCTTTCAGGACGTGGAAGTGGCAGCTTGTGATTTTAATACTAAAGGATGCCGAGAGCGCAGAGAGAAAGAGGTGAGTCCCTTTGTCTCTGATGTCTGGCATCCGAGTCGGCGCTGAAGCAGGAGAAACCAATCAGTCAGTGGGGTCTGAAGTGAATTTCTGTGGTGACATTCGGGGTAAGAGATGAAATTACTTCCCCCAGGGCAAGTGGCAGCGTTTGGCATTTTGAAGGTTGGCAATGAGATAAATGTAGTAAAATCCAGGTTCATGCGAAGCTTCCTTTTAATGCACTGGAACGGGGCTGTCACAGGACGGAAGTGAGAGAGGGGCTGGACCGGCAGGCTGGTGCTCGACGGGCTCGTGGACTGCCTACCCCCCAGGGATGGGGAGGGTCCTCGGCCAGGGTCTCCACAGGGCTCTACCCTCCCTGCTCCTGTGGAGAGGGCAGAGATCAGCCTGGGGTCCCCTGTGGTCATACCTCTGTTCCATAATTCCCCTCCGCTATCACATTTTGGATTCACACACCTGTGAACAGGAGTGGGAGACATGAAATCTCTCTAATAAACAAAATAATAGGCGTCAGCCTGCACCATCAAATCTTTTGCCCACTGACACTCCCTCTGCTCCTCAATTATGGCTCGAACTTTTTAGAACCCTTTGCAGCTCTGCTTTGCAAGAGTTTGGCATTGGTTTCCAAAACGCTATCTGGGCAACTTCCTTTCCATTGTGCCATCACAGCCACCTCTGCTGAAAGCGCCCCTCCAAAGTCAGCTGGCATGGCTAGATAACCCTTGAGCCGTGGGAACTCTTCTTTATTTATGCACTCATTTATTTTGGCTGCACTGGGTCTTCTTTGCTGTGCACCGGCTTTCTCGAGCTGCAGCGAGTGTGGGCCACTCTTCATCGTGGTCAGCAGGCTTCTCCTCACAGTAGCTTCTCTTGTTGCGGAGCACGGGCTCTGGGCGCGCGTGTTTCAGCAGCTGCAGCACGCGGGCTCAGTAGCTGCGATGTGCGGGCTCAGTCGCTGCGATGTGCGGGCTCAGTCGCTGCGATGTGCGGGCTCAGTCGCTGCGATGTGCGGGCTCAGTCGCTCTGCTGTAAAATGTTGGCAGCACCCTGGTCTCTTCCCACTTTGTGTACCATGGCACCCCGCCTGCCAGAACATGACGACCGAAAAGGTCTTCAGGGATTTCCAGAAGCCCCTTGGGAGACAGAATCACCCCTGGTTGAGAATTACTGGTTTGGAACAGCATCTCCCAAGATGGACCCTGGAAAATCCAAGCCCGATGGAATCTCAATAGATATTTTCTGAAAAACAGGGTTCTAAGATGAGCTAACCCTGGGAAACAAACAATATTTTTACTGCCGCCAAGCAGAGAGATCTGCTTTTTTCAGATTGAATCATACAGAATGTAGGTTTCTCTGATTGGCTTCTTTCACTTAGTGACATACATGTGAGTTTCTGCCTTGTCTTTGATATGGCTTGATAGCTCCTTTTCCTGTGTGTGCTAAATAATATTCCAGTGTCTGGATGTACCACAGTTTAGCCATGCACCAAGGACATCTTGATTGCTTCCAAGTTTTGGCAGTTACAAATACAGCTGTTAAAAAAATCTGTGGGCAGGTTTTATGTTGACATGTTTTCAGTTCCTTTGGGTAAATATCAAAATGCATGATTGATAGATGGTACCAGAATGCTTAGTTTTGTAAGAAATTGCTTGTCTTCCAAAATGGCTGTACCATTTTACATTCCCACCAGCGATGAATGAGATTTTATTTTGTTCCGCGTCCTCACCAGCATTTGGCACTGTTAGTGTTTGTGGATGTGAGAGTTGGACCACAGAGAAGGGTAAGCACTGAAGAATTGATGCTTTCGAATTGTAGTGCTGGAGAAGATACTTGAGACTCCCTTGGCCAACCAGTCCAAGGAGATCAAGCCAATCAATCCTAAAGGAAACCAACCTTGAATATTCACGGAAGGACTGATGCTGAAGCTGAAGCTCCAATACTCTGGCCACCTGATGCAAGGAACGGACTCATTGGAAAAGACCCTGCTGCTGGGAAAGATTGAGGGCAGGAGGAGAAGGGGGCAAACAGAAGATGAGAAAGTTGGATGACATCGCTGACTCAATGGACATGAGGATGAACAGACTCCAGCAGACAGTGAAGGACAGGGAAGGTTAGTGTGCTCCAGTTCATGGAGGTGAAAAGAGTCGGGCATGACTTAGCAACTGAACAACAATGGATCAGTAGATGTCGTTGTAATTTTGCATTTCTCTGCTGAAATATTACATGGAGAATTTTTTCATATATTTATTTGCCATCTGTATATCTCCTTTGATGAGGTGTCTTTCTGTTAAGGTCTTTTGCCCATTTTTAAAATTGGACTGCTTATTTTCTTATTGTTGAATTATAAGCGTTCTTTTTATACTTTGGGTCACAGTCCTTTATCACACATGTCTTTTGCAAATATTTTCCTCCCAATCTGTAGCATGTCTTCTCCTTCTGTTGACATTGCCTTTCATAGAGCAGAAGTTTTAAATTGTAATGAAATCCAACTTATTAATGATTTCTTTCATGGTTCATGTTTTTGGTGTTATGATATAAACTTTTTATTTTGTAATAATTTTAGATTATAAAATTAAAGCTAATACAGAGAGTTTCTGTTGACTAGTGATTCTTCCCAGGGGACACTCGGCAGGGTAAAGAGACATTTTAGTTGTCACATCTTGGGGGTTGGGGCGTGCTTCTGGGATCCAGTGTGTGCAAGCCGGGGATGCTGCTAAACACTCTTCATTGCACAGGGCAGCCCCCACAGCAAAGAATGATCTAGTTCAAAACATCAATGGTGCAAAGGCTGAGAAGCCCTGCCAGGGACCTTTCACCAGTATTATTCCTATTCACATCTTACAATAACCAGGGCACAGTCACTAAAAGTAGGCAGCTGATATAGGTGCAATGCCATTATCGGTTGGCTTTTTTCTTTTACCCTCTTAACAAAATTTTAAGTGTACTACATATAATTGTTACTGATAAGCACAATCGTTGTATGACGAATGCCTAGAACGTTTTTATCTTACACAACTGAAATAGGATACTATTTAATCAGCAGCTCTCCATTTCTTCTCTCTTCTCAGCCTTGGCAACCACCATTTGACTTTCTGCTTCTGTGAGCTTGATTACTTCAGATCCCTCCTGTAAGTGGAATCACACAGTGTTTGTTCTTCTGCGGCTGGCTTATTTCAGTCCACGCAATGTCCTCACGGTTCATCCGTGTGGTGGCATATATCATAATTTCCTTTCTTCTTAAAGCAGAATACGTAATCTTTCTAGTACCAATAGATCACATCTTCTTTATCCATTCATCCACTGATGGACATTTAGATTGCTTCCAAATCCTGGCTATTGTGAATAATGCTGCAATGAACACAGGTGTGCAACTATCTCTTCAAGGTACTGGTTCCAGTTCTTTGAGGTAAATTCCCATAAGCAGGATTGCTGGTAGTTTAGTTTTTTTTTAATATTTATTTCTGTGGCTGTGTCTGGCCTTAGTTTTGGCACTTGGGGTCGTCATTGCCTCATTCGAGACCTTTCACTTTGGCACACGAGTTCCCGGAGCTTGTGGGCTCAGTAGTTGTGGCGAGCAGGCTTAATTGCTCCAGGACATGTGGGATCTTAATTCCCTGAATGGGGATTGAACCCGAATCCCCTGCATTGCAAGGTTATTCTTAACCACTGGGCCATCAAGGAAGTCCCTAATCTTTAATTTTTTGAGGGACCTCCGCACTGTTCTCTGTGGCAGGTGGAACATTGCACAGGGGTTCCAATTTCCCCACATCCTCACCGACATCTGTATTTGTTTTAATGGCGGCCATCCTGACAGACACGAGGTGGCATCTCTTTGTGGTTTTGATCTGTGTTTCCCTGATGATTAGTGACACAGTGATGTTGAGCGTCTTTCACGTCCCCGTTGGTTGGTTGTGTGCCTTCATTGAAGAAAGGTCTCTTCAGGTCATTTGCCCATTTTTTAAACTGGGCTATTTGGGTTGTGTTGAGGCAGTCCAAGCTTGGGTTGGAAAAGAATTTCCAAATACAGAGAATTTCAGAAGGGAGTGAGTTTACTAAGAACAAGAGTGGAGATGATGAAGGTACTGTGAGCCCAGCGGGACCACCTTCTGATGGACCAGGGAGAGTGCTTGTGGATTTGTGGATTTTGTGGATTAGTAGCCAATTTCTATAACCTCAAGACAAAGAAAATTCCTGCTGGAAGGTTGACTTTAGGTGATTGGTTAAGGCACTTTAGGGTGAGCACTGGGGTGGGCATTTTTGCCTAATATGGGGTCAGGAAGCCTGCTAGTGATGATCGGGGGGCTTTTGGCAACAGTCACAAAAGGGCTCAGTCAGCTTCAGAGGTGACCTTGTTCTGGGCTCTGCTTCTCCGTGGTACCCTCTCCTGTTCTTAGGTTGCTTTGTCTCTGTTGATTATTTTCTTTGTTGTCAGTTGGATTTCTTTTTTTTTTTTGTCACTTTTGTTTTATTTCTTTATGACCTGTATCCTCTGCCCTCGGTTCAGCCGCAGGTGGCCTGAAAAAAAATGTAAGCGTGGGAAGTACACTTCCTCTGGGGGGTCAACTATTTTGTCAAACAAAGCCTCTGTCACCCAGACCACATTTACATCATGGGTTTGTTTGGTAAAGATCACCTTAGGCCGGGCTTTACAAAATCAGAATCCAGGTGTACTTTTGGTGAAAATATTCACAAACCTGCATTAGGGAGGTGAGAGATCTGGGTGGCAGGACTTGAGTGGTGGGGACTTTCTTGGGGACACAAGTCCCTGACCTTGAGGACAGGCCGTCGTGTAGAACAGGTGCACACTGGGCTGTTTGTCAGCATGTGGATATAAGGAATCGTCCCACAGTAATGATAGCTTATTCACCCTAGCAGATATTTGCTGAGTATCCCCTAGCCCTGGGTTTGAGGGGGTCGTGGTGGAGGTAGGTGCTCTCTGACCTTGACTGGTTGGGTCTCTGTGGTGCCCAGTGCAATAGAGTGGGCTCTCAGGCCATGTGGAAGAGAGATTTGGGGAGAAACCACCAATCACTTCTGTCATTTTTGATGGCTCTCTGTGATCCCCGGTGTCACTGCAGATTGAGGAATAGAGACCTGAGCCCTGGTCCCCAGGAGCTGATACCAGGAGGACCAGAAAGAAGAAAAGCTCATTCAACAGGATGGCATAGACCCTCACAGAAAGAGTGCTGTGGATCGAGCGTCTCAATTAGGATGTCCATGTGGTCCCCTGGGGTTCGTGTTGAAGGCAGATTCTGATTCAGTGGGGCAGGGCGGGCCCAAGAGTCCTCATTCCAAAGATGCCTGGTGACCCGGGCTGCTGGTCCTGAGACGCACGTGGAGAAACAGAGGGAAAGGGCAGAGTGAGCCGAGCGATCTTGAGATGCTGCCCTCAACTGTGAAGGATGGACAGGGTGGAGGTCGTACTGGTTGCTGGGGCAACCTTCCAATTTCCTGGAAACAGAGGTCTGCCTTGTGTTCATCCAGAAGGTGAAAAACTGGAGCAGGAAGGGCTGGACAAGCTCTCCCTCGCTTGAGTCATTCGGATTCGTGAGTGACACTCAAGAGTCGGGCAGCAAAGCAGAGGGAAGGTGGAGGCTATTTAGGGCCTTTGCAGGGTGGAGGAGGGCCTTTCATCCAGGCAGCTTCCTGACCGCAGGAGGGTGAGAATCCATCAGTGTGCAGCCCAGATCCGTCCATGTCATTGCCTTTGGACCACCAGTGGGGCCACCTGCCATCCAAGGGCAAAGTTTATGCTTGCAGAAATTTCTTTCCAAGAAAGCGATTAGCCAGACAGACCTGTTGTCCTTTTGCAAGCAGCAAATTACCCAGGAAAATGTAATTACCCATTCGCTTTGTTATTAGTGCTCAGCTAAGAAGATTGAAGCAATCGCCCCTTTCATGGTATTTCAAAGCTTACTCACATGATGCATCCGTGATATTAAACACAATGAGACTTTTTTGAATTCAATTAAGCATTTGCCTACTGTGACTCTTTATTCATTGCAAATTGTCTCAGTAAATAATCTTCATCAAAAGTCAGAACCAATCCCCATTAGTTGTTTAGATTAATTAATGGGTCCCCCCGGAGCCACCCAAATGAATTCAATTTGAACGTCAACAACTTGACTATGGAGTTTCCCAGGTTGGCATTAAGACAATATTAAACCTGCAATAAGTCACATTTAAAATGTTAATTCAGAGAAGCTCTCCATTTAGAGCATTTAATTAAATCCTTAAATAAACTGCATGGGCTCAGTACCAGATGGTTCTGCGTTTTCATTGTAGCATCGAGCAGGCTCGGTGAAGATAACCAGGATATATAGAGTAATAAAATCTAATCTCGTTTCCAGCGGGGAGATTCAGTGTATGTACACAACCCGGGCTCAAATTGTAAGTTAATTACATTAACCCCGGTGTACTCCAGGATCTGAGCAGTCAGAGATGAAATTAGTCTTTTTCCTATAGTAAGATTCTTTTCAACTTCACTATATTAATTTTTAGCCAAATACTAACTCATAAGGAAAATTGAAGTTAATGTAACCAAAGATAAAGTAATGTGGCCTTAATATTCTGAAGGGATTACAGAGACCCGTGAAAATACACTCCGCAAATGTCATCGCCTTGGAATGGATTTATGGAGGACGGGAGAGAAGAAATGAAGATGCCAGGCAGACTCTAGTCTCCACCCGTCTCCCCCTCCCAACCTGGGGTTAATAAAGGACCTAATCTAGAAAATCCAGTCCTTGCAGTCAGACAGTCTCACAAGGGGAGTGGGGAGTCTCTGCTGGGGGTGGAGGGAAGGGACACACGATCCATACGACCCCCTGGAAAAGTGGCTCCTTCATCCGAAATGCGGGCAATGGGGTCACTTGTCCCCCAGCTTCAGGAGTATCTCTGCCTGCCTCTGCAAGCTCCATAGATGTCCAAGGCTCAGCCTCTTTGTCTCTCTGTACTAAGAGCATCAGTCCTCAGTCAGGAGGAGGAGGGGCTAGGCACATGGCTCTTCCTAGCTTCCTCCTCCGGATGCCCAAAGGGACCACTGGTTCCCTGTCCGTCCACCCGGAGACCCTTGGGCAGCAGCCCGAGTCATCAGTGATAGCTGGTCACATGGTGACTGCACTTCTGCAGCAAACCCATTTCAGAAGGCATTTTTCCCCGGAGTCTACCAATTCTCAGACAAATCAGAAAAGCCCTCCCCTCGTCTCCTCCAGCCCTGGGGGCCTGGCATTCTTGAGCAGCTACATCTCACAGGACACTTTGCCCCTGCAGGAGGGGGGAAGCAGGGAGACCCCAGACCTCTTCAGTTTGTTGCCTCGAAAGCACAACTTTCTGCTCCCGGGGTTCCCAAGCAACACAGCAGGAAATGTATCGAATTTCCAATAGTCTCACCCCCATCCCGGCCCATCTCTGGTCCCCGACGGGCTATGAGAACCCTGTAACTGCCCTCACTTGACCTCCTGTGAATTGAGCTCTGAATCTCCACTTAGCTGCCTTTTTCATCCTGACCTTGTCTGTTATCCTTATTGCTGAAGGATCTCATACTGAGATGGCAGTAGATTTCATCTGAATGCCAACTGTCATTGATAGCAGCCATTCAGAGAGCTGTGTTGAGAAGGATGCTGAGTCTGAATGCAACCTCCAAGAGGAGAAGAAGGCTGTGTACCATTAGCAGCATCTGTCACGTATGTGGCTATGTTTGTGTTTATAGCATGAATAATCTCCAATGTTTTAAAATATCATTGAAGACATTTTCATGACTGTGCCAATGTATTTATTTATTTTGCTTATCTGGCTGCACCACTCAGTTGCGGCACTTGGGAGCGTCAATCTTAGTTGTGGCACACAGACTCTTTTAGCTACAGCGTGTGAACTCTTAGTTGCAGTATGTGGGATCTAGTTCCCTGACCAGGGATCAAACCTGGGCCCCCTGTATTAGGAGTGCAGAGTCCTAGTCACTGGACCACCAGGGAAGACCTGATGTCAATTTATTTTGGTTATATCCATTTGGGGAGTTATTTTTATCTTTTTATATTTGCTAGTAAGGATAAATGGCTCATCTTTGTACATGAGTCTTTGTCTCAATATCTCGACTTTTATTCAGACTCCTTGAAGTGGAATTACTAGATCAAAGATAGTAAAAAGAGAACATATTGTTTGAAAGTTGAGCTCTTTACTATGACCAGCATAACTTAAATGGATATACCTAATTATTCAAATCAAGAGATTGCACAGGAGAGCAGGATTTCAAGAAACAAGCAGGTGACCTCATGTGTTCTCTTGATCGATCCTTATTTTCCATCTATTCCTAGTCATTGAATCAGATTTTCAAGCTGGAAAGAAAACAGGAGGTTGGGTCCTGCCATCTCATTGCACAGAGGAAAATGAAGCCCATAGAAGTCAAGTGGCTTCAGAAAGCCACACAGCCAGGCTGTGGCAGGCTGAGGCCTGCTTTGGTGTCTTGGCACCCAGTTTGCCTCCAGCCACGTCCATTGGTTCTGCTGCATGCTGCTCAGGGTCCCAAATACCCACTTGTCTTTGTACCTCCAGCTGCGGACACCCCATTGCCTATTCCAAACCTTCGTCGCGTCTTCTCATGACTTTCTTCTCCTGGGCTTGGCTAATGCAGCTGTCTCCACTCTCCTCTTGCTCTGTCCCCCTGCCGGGTTCCCATGGCAAAATGGGAAGAAAGAGATTCTGGTCACACTGTCTCCAACTGGTAGGACGTACCCGCTGAACTTCTTAAGGTTAAAAAAAAAAAAAAACTGGCCTGGCTTATGTTTGGCTTGGATTGGTTTTGCAGAGTGCCATCGCCCCGCTGGCCTCCTCAGGGACCACCGTGAGAGGAGATGGCAGCCACTTCTCAACACAGAGCTGCAGTAACAAAGATGCCCTCGTCTGGGCTTCCCTGGCGGCTCAGTGGTACAACTACTGAAGCCCCCACCCTCAAGAGCCCGTCCTTGGCAACAAGAGACGCTAAGATGATGCTAGCATCACAACTAGAGTGTAACCATGGCTTGCCGCAACTAGAGAAAAGCCCTCAGCAATAGAGACCCAGCAGAACCAAAAACAAATAAATAAATAAAATTGAAAAAAAAAAAAGATACCCTCTTTTGCCAGCACTTCTCTGAGCGGTTGGGGCAGTAAAGTGGATTGAGCAAGAAAGGGGACTGGCAGTGCAGGTTCAAGTGTAGGGGGCTGTTCAGGTGGGGAGAACAGGGGGAGCTGGAGGGTTGATACAGAATCCACATCAAGCTCCAATGTCCTTTGTCGTCGGGGAGACTCTTCCTGGGGGAGCTGGGCACAGGCACCGCGCTTGCTCCGGCCGATCCACGGCAGCCCTAGAAGCTGCTCCGCGCCTGCAGAGCCTCCCCTCCCAGCCCCGTACAGGTCTGTGCCGTGGGAGGTGAGGAATAGCAAGAGCTAAAGCTGCCGCGTCATCACTGATAAAGATGCTGGCAGTTGGCACTTGGAGCAGTGAGAGATGAAGAGCAACATCCACACCCCCAAGGCAAGGAGCTGGTGATTCCATTTCAGGTCAAAGTGAATCCAGCCACCGACCTTGGACCCCAGAAGGGGACCAGCAAGCAGGGCTACCCCTGCTATTTCACCCCCAAACCGTTTCTCTGACCCCATTGAGCTGAGGTCTCACGAGGCACCTGGTGGGGGGAAGCCAGGAGTGACCGCGAGGGCAGCTTGTCTATTGTTTGTAGTCTGGGCTCTGACAATTTTCCCCTGAAATGAGCAGCTCGCCACACTGCGTCCAGCTTTCCATGATGCTGGAGCAGTTATTTCGGAAGCAGCTGCCCTGGCTCCGTCTCTGATTAAAGATGACAAGTGTTATCTTGTCACCTTTGCTCCTCTAGGGAGACTCATTTCCTCCGTGAATATTCTTGCCCTGGGCAGCTGGCACCTGCATCTCTCACTGGAGGAGGTGCAGGAGGCCCTCCTTGGTCACATCAACGCCTCAGCCTGCAGCCCCGGCTGCATCTGCCTGACCATTTTTTGTTCCTGCAGCCAGCCTGCGTGGGGCCGGGGAAGCGGGTACCTGCTAATCAGACACTTCCCAAGGGGCCGTGCAGGCGACCATGATGGAGATGAGAAGGGAGGGGCAGCCCTGGGGCTGCAGCGGTGACCACAGTGAGCCCAGGTGACCACGGTGAGCGGTGACCACAGGCCGGCGAGGCTGATGGCCATCCTTTTCGCACTCTCCAGAGTGGTCCTTGTGACTTCCCCCTCAGTGTCTAACAAGCCAGCTGGAGCTAGATTAGCTGGGATGAAAGAATACAAGTCATAGGTGGGTTTTTTTTTTTTTTAAATACAGAAATGGCATGAGACTCAAAACTTTTTTCCTCCTCTGTCTCCAAAGATGACCCACAATAGAAGTGTCCATCCTGGGGCTGGTTCAGGCCTGAGCTTGACAGATAATGAGGTTTCCTGGCCTTGGTCCTCTTCAGCTGCCTCTCCCCAGGACACATGCCAGGTACAGGTGGCGGGGGGGAGGTGAGGAGGGCCGTCGGATAAGCCCTCTGTCCTCCAACATTGTCCTGACTGCTCCCCCCTGAGCTGGGCGATGCCTGTAACCATCAGACCTGGCCTCCTGGTAACAGGTGGAAGAGAGACAAGGGAGCAGTTGGTGTGTGCGTGTTTGCTCAGTTTGCCTCTGGGTCCCCATGGACTGTAGCCTGCCAGGCTCCTCTGTCCATGGAATTTTCCAGGCAAGAAGACTGGAGCAGGTTGCTATTTCCTACTCTAGAGGATCTTCCCAACCCAGGGATCAAACCCCAAATCTCTTGCTTCTCCTGCATTGGCAGATGGATTGTCTACAACTGTGCCACTGAGTGAGCAGCTGGTAGATAACATAAAATAAACTGCTGCATAATTTTTATGAAGTTAGCCTAGATGTAGGCTTCCCAGGAGAGCAGGGCCAGTTGTCTCCTCTGGATGAGAAACAGGGGTGATGGGGAAGTAGACAGCCCTGGGATGAGCAGGTTTCCAGGAAGCTCCTGATGGAGGCTACCCCCGCAGGATTTTACACTGAGATAATTTTTTGCTTTGGGGCGCAGTGGGCTGTGATTCCCTCTTAGACTCCATCCTCTGGGAGCAAACTTTCCCAGAGTCTCAAGTGCGTCCAGCATCCCCATGGCTTGGCCACACCCTCTGCTCCTGTCTTGTAGTCTTGTTGTATGTGTGCATTAATTGCTTGGTTGTGTCTGACACTTTGCAACGCCGTGGACTATAGCCCCCCAGGCTCCTCTGTCCATGGAATTCTCTAGGCAAGAATAATGGAGTAGGTTGCCGTTCCCTTCTCCAGGGGATCTTCCTGACCCAGGGATTGAACCCAGGTCTCCCACCTTGCAGGCGGATTCTTTACCGACTGAGCTACCAGGGAAGCCCCGGGTGAGTCTCGATTCTGGGTAATCCTATACGGCTCTCATTCCTCAGCAGAGAATGATACCCTTGGTGATGGGACCATCGCTCTGTCAGGATGCACCATCAGGACCTGTCTCTATCCTTGAGTTGGAGGGAGGCTGCTCCATCCTCCAGGGCGGGTGCTGCAGTTAGGATCCCCAAGCTGAAGCAGCCTCGAGAGCCTAGCCCATCAACAAGTGTTAACTGATCACCTCTGGGATCCCCTCCGAGTGACAGAGTAAACAAATGATCTGGCTGCTAACCTCCAGGGATGAGTTTGGTGCCTGGAGTCCAAACTCCAGCCTTGACCCATCGCCATGGCCATCAGGATGCCTCTCTGCACAGCTGTGGCCTCAACCTCGTCAGGTCAGGCAAGCCAGTCTTGTCATCAGGGCCTTTGCGACCAGAAGGGACTACAGAGATGGTGCCGTCCAAGGACAGGCTGGGCTGAGGCAGATTCCGGACACAGCAGAGAGTCACGCTGAGAACAGATGTTACCAAAGATGTGCATCCTCCTCCTGGGGGTGCTGGGAGCCCGGGGAGGTGGGCAACAAAACAGAGCAGGGGCTGGAGCCGGGCTGGGCACTGAGCCCATGTGCTTTATCCTTCCAGGGCCTCCTGCCGCAGCCATCTTTGCCAGTCTGGATGGTCATGGAGGATTTGCCCTGGGATATTTTAAAGGGCCATATCTCTGACTTTGCTTCTCCTCTTGGACTGCACCTGCTGGGGGCAAACTTCCCTCCTCTCTCCCCAGCAGAGTGCATCCACACTGTCTACCAAGCAAGGCATGTGTGTGTGCTCAGTCATGTCCGACTCTTTGCTACCGCATGGACTGTAGCCCACCAGGCTTCCCTGTCCATGGGATTCTCCTGGCAAGAATACTGAAGAGGGGTTGCCATTTCCTCCTCTAGGGGATCTTCCCGACCCAGGGATCGAACCTGCATCTCCTGCGTTGGCAGGCAGATTCTTCTCCACTGAGCAATTAGGGGATTAAGATGTGGATACATCTTGGGTGTGGGCAGGAGGACATCTTTTCAACATACCACACCCTTCTAGAGCACACTTCCCAGAGTTGTTTATAACTTGGGGGTCACATGTCCAGTCCATTTCTGTCTCCCATTTTCTTTGGGGATGATCTTTCTGGAACTTTCAAATGTAACTTTAATTGTAACTGAATGTGCCCCCCCACATACACACTGCTTTGCATATGAGTCGGGCTCACGCAGCACTTGTGGGGCATCTGCTGTGTGCCAGGTTCCCTCACTCCTCACAATGAACCCATTTTTCAGATGCTGAAACCGAGGCCCAGAGTGTAAAGAGGTCACCCAACTGGTAAATGGCAACATGGAGACTGGGGCCTTGGTCTTTCTACCTGGAGGCCCAGGCCCTTGTTCAGGATCTGCTGGGTCTGTCTGAGCTCCCTCCCTGCCCTGGACTCATGGGGAGGGCCCCTGGGTCTCCCCCAGCCCAGACTGGACTTTCTAGCCAGCACTGGTTATTTTCTTTCCTCTGGACTTTAGAGCATCATTCTGGGCTAGTCTCTCTCTGCGAGATCCATGAGCAGGAGATGCCTTCCTAGGCACAGGCCTCCCTCTCCTGAAGCCCCTGCTGGCGCGGGGTTCCCTCAGTGTCAGTGGGGTTCACAGCTCTCCCCCCATCCCAACCCCATCCCTGCCGCCCCCCCATGTGAAGCGTCCTCTCAAAGCCACCAGCCCTCCCATAACTCCATCCCCATGTCACCACTCTAAATCAGGGGTTCCCAGCATTTTTGGCACCAGGGACCGGTTTCTGGAAGACAATTATTCCATGGGCTGGAGTGAGGGGGGAGGTGATTTCAGGATCATTCAAGCACACTATGTTTATCGTGCACTTTATTATTATTACATCCGATCATCAAGCATTAGATCCCAGAGGTTGTGGGCCCCTGCTCTACATGACCGCACTAACCCTTTCATTCCCCTCTAAAACCCCAAGCATCACCTTCCAGGGCTGCCCCTGCCCACCCAGGTCATGCCCCCTGCCGAGAACATGGAAGCATCAAATTCTCCAACCTCATCAAACCTGAGGAGTCAGGAGCACACTACCTGTCCATTTTCTTTTTCTTCTGGATCTGGCTTCATGCAGGGCCTAGGGAGCTCCCCGGGAGGCTGGGTTCCCGCTTGGAGGATCCCTCAGGCCTGTGCCTCTTTGCCCTTTCCTCCCAGCTGCCTCATGACGCCCACAATGTGATGCTGCGTGCAGGCCCAGGGCCAGAAAACAAGGCCGGCCCTGTGCTCCCAGGGAGGAGAGGGTGGGGGTGGGGTGGAGGGGCAGCCAGGCCGCACATGCGCACTCTCCTCCTGCTGGGCCCTTCCCGGAGACGCTAAAATGGGTCTCTTATTCTTGTTATGTCCTTTTCCCAGAAGTCACCCGCGACATACCTTTTCTCCTGGATCTTTTAGGCCACTGACAAACCTATCAAGCCAAGTGTCCTTGGGTCATTTTAAATTCTCCTTTGGTCCAACTCAGCAGTAAAGAACCCACTTGCCAATGCCGGAGACGCAAGAGACACATGTTTGATCCGAGTCGGGACAATTCCCCTGGAGGAGAGCATGGCAACCTACTCCGGGATTCTTGTCTGGAGTATCCCATGGACAGAGGAGCCTGGCAGGCTACAGTCCATAGGGTCACAAAGAATCAGACACGACTGAAACGACTTAGCATGCACGCTCTGGTCCTTTGTGCTAGAGATGACGGGCCTTAAATTTGACTCTCAGAAATGCAGCCCCGTGTGGTCTCCAGCCTGGAGAATACCAGCTTTCTGAGAGGTCTGAGGTCTGGCCCTGCTCTGAACCTCATCCTGGAGAATGGGTGCCCGCACGCCTGCTCTGTGCCCTTAGCCACACTGGCCAGCGGCAAGTTAAACAGAATCCACTCTTCCGCATCGCCAGGCAGCTGGCCCTGGGTTTCGGAGCCTGCCTGCCAAGTAAACTCTTGGTCCAGCTGTCACATGCTCCCTGTCCTGATTCCGAGGTGGTTCCAAGGAGACCTGTGGGGAGGGCCCCAGGCTGTTCCAAACCACCCCTGTGCATAGCCAGCTTCAGGCATTGACCGGGAGTGTGGACTGTTTTCACAGGTTGGCGTCTTTGTCTTCCCAGTAACCCAGTTGAGCGCTCCTGGACCATGGCTGGGGTGGGGACAACCCCACATCTGCTGCAGGCAGAGAACACGGGGGTGGGGAGCAGGGGGAGCTCTGACCCTGCCATTTAGGAGGGGCGACTCGGGGGCCAGGCTGCCAGGCTGCTTGGCTCCTGAGCCCTGGACTGGCTTTGGCGCTGCGGGCAGCCTGTGACCGTGGTTATGTGGGACAAGGTTTGGTCCCCACGTCCACATGCATCCTTCCGTGGGCCTGTCCCTCACCAACACATCTGGTAAGCATCAAAAAGAGGCAGAGAACACTGTGTAACAGGAACCGACTCTGGGCCATTCCAGGCATCCCTTATAAGAAAACCCTTCCTCCCAAGTTGGAATTCTGCTCTTAAATAAACTTTGTGCATTTTTTCTAAGCAGCTGGTTATGAGCCAGAAGCGGGGTGTGGGCAAACCCATGACCTATCGGGGTTCATTTCCTCCACAGTGAAACAGGGAGGCACCCCTGGAGGTCTCCAGCCCCACTTGGATTCAGTTCAACAGCCTGGCTTGAGCACTGGCACCCCAGCACCCAGTCAGCCAGGAGCGGGGACCA